GAGGAGGAGGAGGAGGAGGAGGAGGAGGAGGAGGAGGAGGATGGTGGAGTCTTTAATGCTCTCTGAGCTTGGTTGTTTTCTTGCAGACGTTTCATCACCCAGCTAGGTAATGCCATCAGTGCTAAGAAGGGAATAGGGTTGGTGCAGTGATGGAGAAGGAGAACAAGGAGGAAGAGAAAGACTGCGGGGTCCTTGGTGCATTCTGAGCTTGGGTTTGTTTTCTTGCAGATGTTTCATGACCCAACTAGGTTACATCATCAGTGCTAGAAGGGAGGAGGGGTTTGCAGGGAGGAAGAGGAGGGCTGTGGGGTCCTTGGTGCTTTTCTAGCAGATGTTTCACGACCCAGCTAGGTAACATCATCAGTGCGAGAACGAGAAAGAGGAGGAAGAAGGCAACTAGGGAAGACATGCTCTTGTTCTCTCTCTCTCTCTCTTTCTTTCTCCTTCCTTCGTCTCACCTATCCATCTTCCTACCTCTTATTTCTAACTCTTTCTCTCTTTCCTTCTTTTGTTCTTCTTTCATTCTTCCTTCCTTCCTTTCTCTGTCTCTTTCTTTCTCTCACCTATCCATCTTCCTACCTCTTATTTCTATCTTTCTCTTTCCTTTCTCTTTCCTTCTTTTGTTCTTCTTTCATTCTTCCTTCCTTCCTTTCTCTGTCTCTTTCTTTTTCTTTCTCTCACCTATCCATCTTCCTACCTCTTATTTCTAACTCTTTCTCTCTTTCCTTCTTTTGTTCTTTATTTCTTCTTTCATTCTTCCTTCCTTCCTTTCTGCCTCTTTCTTTCTTTCTCCTTCCTTCCTCCCACCTATCCATCTTCCTCCTTTCTTTCTTTCCTCCTTTCTTTCTTTCCTCCTTTCTTTCCTTCTTTCCTTTTCTTTCTTTCCTTCTTTCCTTTTCTTTCTTTCTTTCTTTCTTTCTTTCTTTCTTTCTTTCTTTCTTTCTTTCTTTCTTCCTTCCTTCCTTCCTTCCTTCCTTCCTTCCTTCCTTCCTTCCTTCCTTCCTTCCTTCCTTCCTTCCTTTCTTCCCCTTGTATCCCACGCCCACCATTCTCGTTTCCCCTTTCCTTCCTTTTCTTTCCTATTTTTTCCTTCTCTTCTTTGTATTTGAGATAATAAAATAACACCTTAAGAAACATTAAAAAAGAGGAGGAGGAGGAGGAGGGCTGTGGGGTCCTTGGTGCTCTCTGAGTTTGGCTTATTTTCTAGCAGATGTTTCGTGACTCAACTGGGCATGGTGGGGAATTCTGGGAGTTGTAGTCCACAAGTCTTATAGTGGCCATGTTTGCAGACCTCCCCGGTCTAGAGGTAGGCGATACAAAACCGCAGGTTCCTAACCAAGAAACGCACTTACTTGCTTTACGTCCCCGGCGAGCATGTAGCTCATGGTGGCTTTGAAAAGCTTTTCAGCCTGGAAGGAGAAGGAGAAGAAGGAAAAGAAGAGGAAGGTGGCAGTGGAGGTGCTTGGAGATCACACGGGGTTTAAGGAAAGGGGCTCCCCGTAGCCACACCCAAGGCCACACCCACGAGGAAATGTGGGTCCCCTTCCAATTATTTCCTTACCTTCTCCAGCTCTCCTCTCAGGAAGGCCAAGTTTGCCATCTGGAAGACACCAAGGAAATGGGGTTATTGTGCTTTTTTTTTGCTGCTCTTTAGCAGAGAACTTTTGTGTGACTGATTTCTATTTCAGTATTATAGATAGATAGATAGATAGATAGATAGATAGATAGATAGATAGATAGATAGATAGATAGATACAGATAGATAGATAGATATAGAGATAATAGAAAATAGATAGATTAGATAGATAAGATAGATGATAGATGATAGATATATAGAGGATAGATAGATAGATAGATAGATAGATAGATAGATAGATAGATATAGAGATAATAGAAAATAGATAGATTAGATAGATAAGATAAATAGATGATAGATGATAGATATATAGAGGATAGATAGATAGATAGATATAATAGAAAATAGATAGATTAGATAGATAAGATAAATAGATGATAGATGATAGATATATAGAGGATAGAGAGAGAGAGAGAGAGATAATAGAAAATAGATAGATTAGATAGATAAGATAGATAAGATAGATAAGATAGATAAGATGATAGATGATAGATATATAGAGGATAGATAGATAGATAGATAGATATAGAGATAATAGAAAATAGATAGATTAGATAGATAAGATAAATAGATAGAAGATAGATAGATGATAGATATATAGAGGATAGATAGATCATACATACATACATGCATACTAGATAGATAGATAGATAGATAGATAGATAGATAGATAGATAAGAGATAGATAGGTAAGATGGGTAGATAGATGATAGATGATAAATAGAGGATAGAGGATAGATAGATGAGAGAGAAAGAGAAAGATAAGATAGATATAGAGATAATAGAGAATAGATAAGATAAATAAGGTAGATAGATTAGATAAATAGATAATAGATAGATAGATAGATAGATAGATAGATAGATAGATAGGTAGATAGATAGATAGATATAGAGATAATAGAAAATAGATAGATTAGATAGATAAGATAAATAGATAGAAGATAGATAGATGATAGATATATAGAGGATAGATAGATCATACATACATACATGCATACATGATAGATAGATAGATAGATAGATAGATAGATAGATAGATAGATAGAAAGATAGAAAGATAGATAGATAAGAGATAGATAGGTAAGATAGGTAGATAGATGATAGATGATAAATAGAGGATAGAGGATAGACAGATGAGAGAGAAAGAGAAAGATAAGATAGATATAGAGATAATAGAGAATAGATAAGATAAATAAGATAGATAGATTAGATAAATAGATAGTAGATAGATAGATAGATAGATAGATAGATAGATAGATAGATAGATAGATAGATAGATAGATAGTGTGTTAGTTTCTGGAGGGACTGTGGAGGAGAACCACAAGGGGAGTTTTCAGGAGGACTAACCATGTCATAGGTGTAAATAATGGCCGTTTTGTTGCTTGATTG